TTGTACGTTGAAAAGGAGAAAAAAACAAAGAAACAATCGAACAAAACAACGCAATGCAAAGTCCGTTTCTTCGAAAGACACACTGAACCTACTTCCAAAATGAATACGTTAAAATAAAGCTGTATTTGTTGATGTTATCAACAAGTAGTCTATCAGAATTTTACTAGTTAAAAGTGACACAGTATATCAATAAGATGGAAAATAATTCGGATATTTTACTAGCTGGTTCCTTGAAAAAATAACACATTAAACCAATACGTTTTGCATTCAATTATTATAAGCTAGTATAGTCGTGCATTGTAGGAATTTCCAATGAAAATTGCAAGACTAAAGAAATGCATGTGGTTGACCTTGATCTTCCTGCTGCATAAAACATTGCTATATACAGTGACAATGTTTTGATATTGCTTTTTTAAATAAATTTATAGATATTATTATTTGTGTTGAGATGCAAAAAAAGTATTATGAATTTGTCATTCAGATATATCCATATTTTGTTTTCCTAATTTTCAGATTGTCAATGTTGCCATTTTTAAATATGAAGTAAAAATGATGTTTGTCATCAATCAATTGATATTCTATCGAATTAATGAACTGATATTTATGATATTTAAGTTTGATTTATTAATACTTTATATCACAAACAAGCATGTTCATGTATCCATTATATCATTTTTAAGCAAACTTTGGGCTTTCAGGTTTTGCTGCAAAATATTGTTTTTAAACATAATAAATCTTGCTTATGTGTTTTTTTTTCAAAATTGAAAGCCTTTGCCAAACTTAATCAGTAACACTACTGAAAAATGGGAAATGAAAACGACCATATATCAATAATAAAATATCGTTAATACCACTCAAGGGAAATCCATATTGACTAAAGCCATGTTAAAACAGTTATAATACACACCCATACTTGTTATAGCACTAACTAACGATGGGCGTTTGGAATACTTACTTAATAATACGGTACATAATATATTTTCGCCGAATGTGTTCACTTAGATACTTTATTACAATTAAAAAACGGCGCGTGTTATCAACTTTGTTTATAGCTGTTAATGAAATCATAAAAGCTTTACGTTTTCAAACAACTATAATAGTATACTATTGATACACTGTATCAGTCATGATACAACTTGCAGGTATCTGTGACTAATGCTTTGTACAAAAAATTCAATGTTTTGGATTTTGATATTGCTTTTTTATTTCATTCAAGAATTAATAGATACAAAAGAAAAACAAAAACAATAAAGGAACAATTACAATTTATGTGTCGAAGAGTATACCCCGGTCGTGCTGTCGGTATAGATGTATTGGAAAACGGGAAGGAATGAAAAAAACTGCCATGGTACGCTCCATCTCCTACACCAGGGACACCGTAATGAGACACTTAATATAATTAGAGAACGCCTTACAAAAGCGTTACCATGGAGACACTTTGCTAAATAAACTTAGATCGATATGGTAGAGAATCCGTTGATTAGCCATATTGTTAGACACTTTCTTAAAAACACAATTAATTCGTACAATTGGGAATTTTTGTCTTTGAAGATTAGTTGCTACTAGATTCTTTGACTATTATATATGATTAGTCAAAATCTCGGAGGAAAACAAATAATATATATATATCAATTATTGATTGCCCCAAATGACTAAAACTCGAAACAAAATTGTTATTACAGCTTGGTTTTTTTTCAGTATTATAATATCCCATCTAAAGCATAGATAACCATTGGTATAGAAGATAGATACAGCGAAAACAAAACCACAAGACTGGGTACAAAAACAATATGATCATACACAAAGGTTTGCTAAATATTGCATTAAACTGTTTTTTGGGGTTTTTTTTAACAACGGAAAGACATTTTAAAATAATGCCTGATATAAAAACCGTATAATTGTTTAATTTCCATTTTTTTATGTTTTTCTTAAGTGTAGCAAAATTGTTATGGTTATATCATAGTATATACAGCAAAGTATTGAATTATATAAGAATAAAATACCAAGCTTAAATATATAAGAAAAATCGATTCCGCTACCAACGACGATTAATATATATAAAAACTCTAAAATATAATTAAAATTAAAAATAATTTTCTTCATTCTTATTTGATATCACAAATAAACAAGTTATTCATGTTTTGTGCAAATAAAATGTATGTGAGAGTGTCGATATTTTAACCAGGTAAACTTGTTATATATTTAATAGCCCATACAATAAGGTATAAGGGGTAATGTCAAATTTCTTTAGGAGACCGCGTTTGTGGTCAGTCGGGCTGGCAGTGTTCATGAATTAGTTCTAGACGTTTAGCATCACTAGGTTTATTATACTGTGGCGTGTGACTTTTATTTATGACCTATTCTGTTTCCTAACGGACCCTCGACTCGACTTGAAATAGCAGTATTTTAACCGCTGTTTACAAAATTCTTCCCTGCCAAAAAGTTAGTTTCATACTTAGGCAAACACGACATCAGAACTGCGTGGTTTTTTTTAATATTATTTCTTTTTCTAATGTTTAAACTAGGAAATATCTGTTACAAAAGAAAGAAAAAATAACCTATTTAGATACTGTTGATCTATAGTTAATGTTTTAGTAAATGCATATGGCGAAATTATATTAAAAAATAATGAGTTAAGAGGTACGTATATGACTTACTAATATATTACCTATGAAACGCATTTATTATACAGGTCATGGATAGCACATATAATATCTATATTATAATGTAAATATTTATATGAAATATCAATGCGTGAATTATTAGAATAAATTCATAAACTGTCTCAGTATAGTGTCGATCTAAAATATAATAACCATCAATACTGTAAAAGACAGTTTTTAATCCAAATTAATTATTCTCTTTGAGGCATCAAAGATTTTCAGGACTCAAGGTTGGAAATTCAGTTAAAATTTTTGAGGTTATTGGATGAAAGAGCGCATTCATTTATTGTATCAAATGCATGAAGTGTTTTGCGTTATGTACGATTTGTATGTGTTCATTAAAATAAAAATGTATATGTTATTGCAAGTGTAATGTATGTTACACTTGATAGTATGCATCTAAAATATCCCCTGTTATAAGTCATTGGTGTGTTGCAGTGTATGTATACAGATATATGAGAAGCCTTTATTCAATTAATAACTGGAAATTCATTTGAAACTTGCAGTTGCTTGTTAAAATAATGGCCATATGAGTTTTTTTACCTAAATTTCCCGAGTTATATTGTTGATTTTATGTACAATTCCAAGTAATATTGTTTTCTTTTTATTGCAAATTTAATGCAAATTACAATAAAAAGAAATATTTAACCTCTAATATAATTGTATCAGTAGAAAGAATTAAAAAGCCTTTTAAAATCAAACTGACATCCAGGTAGGTTTGTATGTATCATACGAATTTTAGACAAGGTATTGCAAACTTTGTATCACGAATTTTCCCCGTTTCGTCTAACTTCGGCTACGCTCAAAATTAGTTCTGGCGGTTAAAAAATAAATACACTACAACACAAACACATACTTGTGTGCTTGCTGAGGTATGAACGAGACGGTGTACTAGCTTATGTGTATATACATATGCAATCTCAAATAGTCTCCTATGTACAGTTAAATTACTAACGTTTTATAAAATGCCGTTTCTTGATGCATTTAGAAAACATAGTATATTACAGACCGAATGTATTATGTTTTGGTTAGAATGTGTATTTATTCTATTAGTATAATTTTAAACCAGAATTCATTGAAATCCTATTTTTCTAAATACCAAAACAATTATTCTGGGATATCACTGATATATTTTGAAATAGATATTTGAAATACAAACTAGTCTACTAAAAGATAGAAAAGGTTACTGCTTTATTGTGTTTGTGTTAAATGTGTCATATTATATCTAACTGTGTATGTTGTGTACTAGATAAACAATCCCGTACACTTGGGGACAGGTATGACTTTAACCTGACATACTAGAGGTATTAACTGACCACAGCATGACTTGTCCGTTACAAATGTCTGCATTAATTCAACACTAATGTGTGTCTAGACTGTCACTATTTTCGGGAAACGTACCTAGGTTTATTAAAATATATTTATATTTACTCTATACGGATGAATTTAGTATAGAATGTGGATATGTGTTTGTATTTTATATATATTCCACGGGTTCTATCAAAATGATGTTTCAGCAGAAATGTATTAACTATTTTTGACATGTAGAAAAATACCATAATACCTTCTTCTCAGTTTGGATAAATGTGTTTGAATGTAGTTTGAGTTTCACAGACCACGCAACCACATGGTCTATTGTTTACATTTGTTGGACAAAATGGCTTCCGCTCGTAAATCAAGGTTTTTGTTCGCTAGTGTTGATTAGCATTTAACCACGGTAATTCTAGAAACCATACATACTATATAGTATATATATCCCATGTGATTCCCTCTAGAGTTAATTTACAATCTTAATCGAAAGAACGAGAACAGTTTTCGTTTAAATTTGAAATAGATTAAAAAGGAGTATTTATGTTTTGAATGAACAATGACAAATATGGCTGGGTGTGACCTCATTCGATATGCACACACCGTCGTCAGAACGTAGACCAGTTTAATCTTGGGGTAATGTCCCATTAGAGCAATATTGCAATCCCATAAAATTCTTCAATGTATAAAAATGAAAACATTAAAATTTACATATTTTTGTTCACGATAACGTCAGATAATCGGGTTGAGTGTTGACTTTCGCCATTGGATTTTTTTATATGACAACGGGTGTAATCTACTGTTAAAAGTATAATTGTAATTTTAATATTTAAAATTCCTATCCAGCGATTGATAACTATTGTTGAAGATAAATCGTAAACTGTGTTTGCATTTAATAATCATCGAAAACGTTATATTTGGACATAAAATGGTGTTATTTATGTTTAGTGTAAAAATGAAGATAAAAACATAATGTTGAAAAAGGGGTGTCACCCGGTCTAAATTGATAAAGGTGAGCAATGCACCTACCTTGAGAATACTGCATCCTCCTCATCCATGGATAGATGTGTGGGGGGGTGTACTGATCCGTTGGTCGGGGGGATTGAGGTGCCTGGTTTGTAGCGGATTGAGGGGAGACCTGGGATTGCTGCTGGTCCGGAGGGGTGGGTGGGGGTTGTTGTGAGGGTGGGGTGGTTCTATTCCTCTCCACCCCACCACCCAATTGCCCGTTCGGATAATATGAACCACTACTATTTGAATTTGTCCGTATATTACACGATGACCTTTCACTAGATGGGATATGATGGACGTTTTGAGAATTATTATTTCCGACATGGAGGTTGTGAGGGGAAGAACAGGGACTGGAGTGAGGTAGATGGCTCAACCTGGGAGCTCCATAAAAGTCGCCATTTTGGTCTTCAATCCGTTCCTCTTTAGACGGATAAGGGTACCTTCCACCCGGGAAACCCGGATAAAGCGTACCGGAATGCTGATAATTTCCATTTCTATGAAAACTGGCTTCAGAACAGCTGTCTAGTCCAACAGTTTGTCCATAGCACGTGGATAAAGAATTAACGAAGTATGAACTCATCGGTACCGTAGTAATTTCGGATCGTAAAACTGTCCCGTACCGTCAGGGTTGGACGCGTGCAGAATGAATTATGTTGATGTTGTTGAAGTACGTAGGGAGCGTTGTAACATAGAGAATCACTCGCCACTGAAAAGAAGCCATGATAACCACGTGATTAAGTCAGCCAATCATAACATCGCTTTCATTACAGAGGGTAAAAGTCAGACCAAAATAGATTTGAATATTTACAGTTCTACAAAAGATTAGATAGTAAAATAAATATTATATTTACTAAATGCAACTTACAAGTGTAGGAACAGTGTGACGTCCTAGTCCGAGCTGTTTCATTGTTAAATGTACACCGGCACCCTGTCTTACTGGTATACATACGACTTCGACCAACATTGAGCCTGCCCATCGATCAAATAAACCCACGTGGGCTATTGTATCGCAGGACACACTCCAGCGCATACGAAATATTACACACTGTACATTACATGTTTAAACAGCAAATCAACTTTGCTCTGCTAGCAGGAAAAAAACTTAACTTCTAGTTATGCTTATGTTAATAACGAGATTTCTGTTTATCTGATATATGTGATAAAAAGGCGATTCTTTACACAATAGCAGCCACTAGCCTGCCGACGGACTAATGTGTTTTGAACTGTACTTCAGAACGACCAAGAGTCATTAGCAAACCACCATTAACCTAGAACGCGCCAACACATTATTTTGATTTTCATCTGCTAGTACTATGTCCAGATATATATAAAATAACACTCTCATGATGAATGGATTTCGAGGCATTATACTTACGTTGTACGGATAGAACTAGCCTTGTAGCGAAAACTGTGGTCAGAGGAATACATAAATATTTAATGTAGCATTTTCTTCCCTCAAACAACTAGAAAGCGTTTCCCCGGTCCGTCTGTATCAACGAACTTAAGAAATGTCTCACCTGAAAGAAAAAAAAACATAAATATATACCTACGACTGATAGACATTTGCACATCTTATTTCATTGAAATAAAATGAGGATGGACGAAACAAAATTATCGATAATTCAATTAGGATTTAAATGTTAGAAGAATATAATAACTGTGTTTAAATGCAAGATTATATAAATTCAGATATGCATTCGGTTTAAACTTTTAATTTCTCAATCATATTCTGATCGTAATAACTATTTTATAAATATATATGTATAGCTTGTTATAAAATCATGATGAAGCGGACTATGGTTTAGAAATCAGATTTTGTGAGATCAAAAATGATCAATTATACGAAATTGAGGAACGATGCTCACGTGTAACATATTATTACTGAATATAATATCGTTAGATTAAACAAAGGTCTAAACGACCGTATAATACAAACAAAGACTTGTATTTATATTTCTTCGCAAAACTATATTTATAACGAAATATAATAAACATATAATATTTTTAATAGGCATTTATCGATGTAATAATAAATTTGAATGTCATATATGATTTTTTAACTAAAGAAACTCCGTATTGCAAAAAGTCGTATTCGATACAAATTTTGGAAACAAATATTATACGTTGTTCAAATTATAGATATATCATATGTTTATATAGCCTTTCATGAATTCTTACCCTACCTTAAGTAATAACGGTACAACGTTATTATGTTATTACTTGCACCAAAACCAAATGACGCAGAAACAATACACGACTGTTATCAATTTTAAGATAGAACTGTTAACGTTCTTCAGGGTTAAAAGTCGATTGTACTTTAGTTGTCATGACTTGATCACGAAAAGGTAAAATACTTGTGAAATGGTATATAAATAATAAACACATTTATTATTAACTGCAAGTGCAACACTTATCAATCATTACCTTACTAATTTATTCATATTTGAATAACTGGTATTTGCACTGGTGAATATAATATTGATGTAAAAATCGGGTAATCATTAAAACACAAACATCATCAGTCAGTTGTTTTCTTAAAATGTATGTAAAGGTGTTTTTCCGGCGGATGGTGTAGGAAGATAGAGATATAAGACAATGCTAGAGGGAGGAGAGTGTTTGTGTTATTATACGGGCGATAAAACAACTCAACTTAACTGTCTGAATAAATTTTGGACGCAGTGTCGTAAATCGTGAGGTCATTACATCTATGTTAAAGCAGATTTACTGTAAATATCATATATATATATATATTGGCACGTGTTTGTGTTATTTACGATACCATAACAAACAGTCAGAAAACCTTGTTAGAAAGGAAGGCTAATTAACCAACATAAATAAAAAGCCTACATGGACATATCAGTCCTCGAGGTGATGTATCGTGAACCGAGGTGAATAAATACACGGACACAACGCTAAGGCGACATTTTATGATTTATTCCCTGTTTGGCGTCTAGCTAAAGCCATTTGACAGCTTTGTATATGATTATTTTTCTTTTGATTCATTGGATGATTTCTATCTTGAATAATCGAATATACAATGAGCAATAAAGGGTTTATCTAAAATAATACAACATCCCGTTTCTCATGTTTCACGTTCACCATTGGTTCTCTTATGCGAACTTCAAAATGTTCCTGTTTCTCTTTATACACCATGTTCTTTCATATTGATGTGTTCATAATATTCACACAAAATATGTATCAATAAATAGTGGTTATTTTTAGGTGAAGGCAATCCCTCTTTCGATGTGCAACTTGTGTTAAATAACTCACCGGTTATTTATACATCATGCATAGCTATGCAGTTTATCAAACGAGCGCTTTTCATTGGACAAAATAAGAATGGATAAAAAATGACAACAACGTGGGGCAAAATGAAGAAGCGCTAACAAATTGTTTTCACTCTGGTAAACGTAGGTTCGATATATTCTTATTACGGAGTAATTTCTGGCCAACTGGGAACCACGAAGACAATTAATTACTGCACTCCTTTGGTATTAAAAATGCATGGATTAGAAAAGCACATACTGAGCATAAGAAAACCGCTTCTAGTACGTTGACGGAGTGTTGTATTGGAAATTATGGGATTAAACGTTAAATCACTTGGGAAGCAAAATAGCATATTACCACTACATAAGACAGCCTTGAATAGAGCATGTCACCAATGTACCATGTTTTGAAGGTATGAAATGATTGTTATGTACTCTTTTAAAGTTTATGTTTTTTCTTGATGATCCTCGATATTCATGATAACAGCGATGCCTGATCAAATCATATCGTGTAATTTAAAAAAAGTAAAAACAAAATAAAAATTTACGTTTTGAAAATAAACATACATTTGATCTTTCTATTGTATGTAATTTTGATAATAATAGAAAGATGTATATATTATTTTAAATATAATACATAATTAACCCTGATATTCAATTTCAGTGTATGCCATATTACTGTTATAAGGTTTTACACATTATTTTTTTGATATTCAATTATTTTTCTCTGTAATTTTGTCTCAGTTTAGCATATATATTGTATTGTACGCTACTAAATATGTTTCATGTTAAAAGTGCGTGTTAACAATTTGCGATGACTCATGTGTAAACAATGAAAGGATGTATATGTTACTATTTTTCCAAAATATTGTATTGATTGTTCATCTAAACCTTTATGTTAACGCTTTTTTAAATATGTTATATATTTTAAGAAAACAATTATTATTTATTGATATTTAGGAAAAAATCTTTAGTTGCTGTTGATATAAAAATGTATTTGAATAACAATTAAGTTGGTGACAATTTATTGATATTTAACAAAGAATAAACTCACGAGATCAGTTTAAATACATAACAAAAAGGTTTCAACTTTATAAAGGGAATATATGTGAGAAACCATCAAGGTTAATTTAATAATTGTTTATTCGCCATGCGAACAACAAAAGAGTAAACCACCCCTGTACAATGCACTCATTCACACAGTAACTTACAGAAAATAAAATTTAAACAGATACTTTGAGATATCTTAAATAGATATTAGTATTATTTCATTTTAACAAATGTACCTACTTGTATGTTTTCAAACTTCAAACGTGATCAAAAAGAATTATAAAAACATATAATGAAATTAAATCAGATGTATGATCTTCTTTTGATCAAATGTCAGTATTTCATAACTTGAAAAAATACATATGTATTGAAAGATCATTGTTATATTAGAGCAATAGTTTTGTCTACTGTTTAAAACAAAACATTTAATTATAAAAATAGCATTTTAACTCATTTACATAATTATTGTATGTTATAATATATCTACGCAGAAATTATCGTTTTATGTAAAAGATGACTGGTCAATTACGCGACGATACTACCATCGTAATGGACAGCCTATGAATCGAGGACATTCCGTGGTATGATTAGGGTTCAGGTGGACAGAGCAGAAAACGACATATTGTGCTAGAATTAGAAATTAATTTGACAATTGTCTTCCCCTAATGTTTAAATAGATTTACGAGGCGTACATTTATCCGGGTCGGTTAGATGTCATTCTATGTAGACCCAAACTGTTAAAACACGTAGAAAATACGTCCGACAAGGTAGCGGAAACCCATTGTTGTTGAGTGTCAGTCACCATAGCACGCGTGTAATAGTGTCTGTGTCCGTCCAAACTTCGTTCGCTCAATAAATTTACCTAAACATATATTTGCCAATAGAGCTTTATCCGTCATTAAAAATATAGCACATAATAGTATGTTAATTTACGTTTTCAGCCTCCTTTGACATATGAACCTTAATGTTGGTGATATTCAATTCTTATTCGATCTCACCTAATCTCTTCTCTCATTTTGTTGACTACAATTGATCAGGTAACATCGGAAAAAAAGCAAAAATAATTAAGCAAATAATTCGTCAAATAGCAACTCGATTCACTACCTATTATTGCATACGAAATATCAATTGTACTTATATTGGCCCAACACAAATATTCACTACTTCCAGTGTAAAAACGTTTTGGGTAAATAATTTTACATTATAATGAGATTGTTGCCCAGATGCAGAATTATATTTATTGCAGATATTTTATATTCGGTATTTATAAGTCTTACCATATAAATTAACTCTATATTTTTTTATATGTTGCTGTGTCTGTTTATCTTTTAAAAAAATGATTAACGAGCAGTTCACCATACATTATCCTTATGGAATGCTTATATGATATAAAGTTTTTATATGGAAAGTAATAAAAGAATGTCGTTGGGTTGTTTTTCTTGTAAAATTTGGTCCCCAATCCCATTTCGATGTCAGTGTGTCACGAATGTGTCGCCTACAATATCAACATACCTTCTCACATCACTACAGTTCAGTTCTGACATTCTACACACATACACACACCTTGCAATGAACACACATGATCACCCTTTATAACATGCACATGCTATATATACACACACGTCTTTGTGTTGCTTGTGCTGTCATTTTAATATCGCTGCTTTACATGCTTTTAATTATAACATAATTACCCAATAAAGTATTTTTTACACGGTTTTTAAACAAAAACAATTCATATTTACATTTTGATGCAATCAAAATTTGTTTTTATCGTTGAGTTCTGAGATCTTTAATAGCCCTTAACAATGGGATATAAAATTGATTTATGCTCACTACGTGCACATGCAATATGCACTTCTATACAGCAGTAGTATATTGTGTTTCGTTAGATTTGAATTAATCGATATTTTTATAACCTGTGTGAAGAGATACGTATAAACACAAGATCATCTGATTGCTGCTTCATAAAGTAAAAGAGTGAATATATTCAAACTACCTAAAGAATATATAATAAAACTATCAATATTGAAGAACTCATATATATACACTGTTTAAAAGCGTTGGCTATCAATAGCATAAGAACAATTGGTAAAACAAATAAGATAATATCTGAATGAATACAAAGGACAGTCACACATATTGCGTTAAGTATAGGCTCTTTGAACTACTACCCAAATAGTCAAAATGATGTTATATATACG